GCTAATATAATACAGAATAAAAAGGCAGATCTTGAGATTTTATGTTCATAAAGAATAGTATAGATATGATGAGGTAAGGGTGCATGAGTAGCAACAGGATGAAGGGTTACTTTATAAATAACGTGCTGCAAGGGAAAATACTGGAGAGTGAGATTGAACAAGTTAACATATGTGCACGCACAAAGATGGCATAAGGAATCCTGCTATTGTGTATAATTATAACGTACCAGTAAAAATAAATTAATTAATTAAAATAATAGTAATATGTTACACAGGTCCATTTTTACAAGCTTATACTACAGGATATAAGGAAGGAAGGGTGAAACCTGGTGAGCAGAAGGACAACAGACATTTGGCAACTTGCTGATCTCTTTCTCTCTTTAGTATTCTTTGATCTCCTCTGAAGAACTGGTATTTGGTTTATTTCTAAGGTTTCCAATACCATAAAAATTAATCTCTTGCCAATATCCCTCACCAGGGGTCCAGATCTAAATTAATTATCATCTTGATAGTATACAGCAGCTTAACTGAAACATCATTCACATAAGAAAACAATTCACTCTTTTAAAGTATACAATTCAGTATTGGGGATACCACTCAATGGTACAGCGTACTGGACCCTGAGTTTGATTCCCAGCATCACAAAAAATAAATAAATAAAATTGCTTATAATTTCATTGTGGCTACTGAGGCCTAATAGTCCAGCCCAAAGCTCTTCTAAGGAAAAGAAAAGTATATAATTAAAAAGTTGTTAGTATATTCAAAGCTGTTTCCACTATCAATTTCAGATTATTTTCATCACCATTAAAGGAAAATGTGTGTCTATTAGCAGTCACTCCCCATTCCACTCTATTCTCAGCTCTTGGCAACCACTCACCTACTTTAAATCTCAATGGATTGACCCCTATTCTGAACATATAATAAAGTGAAATCATGCCACATGTACCCTTTCGTGGTTGGCTCCCTCAGTTGGCATAACTTCTTCAAGGTTCATCTATTAGTGGTTCATTCCTTATCAATGTCAAATTATATTTTTTTGTTGTGCCACATTTTGTTTATCCATTCATCAAGTGATGGATATTTGATTGCTTTCACTTCTCAGCTATCATGAACAATACCAACACGAGCATTGGTGTTCAGGTTTCTGTGTGGATATGTTTTTGATTCTCTTGGGTACATGCCAAGAAGTAGATTGCTGAATCATATGTTAACTTTAACATTTTGAGGAACTGCCAAACTGTTGTCCAAAGTGACTGCAGATATTTGCAATCCCATCAGCTCTGTATGAGGGTTGCAATTCATTCCCAACATTTACTATTTTCCTTTTTTCTTTTTATGATAATGGAAATCAAACCCAGAATCTAACACATAGTAGATAAGCATGTATCCAATCATTGAACTATATCTCTGGGACCCCTCTTTGTTTTAATTATGCAAATCCTAGTGGGTTGGAAGTGGTATCTCATTGTAGATTTCGTCTGAATTTCCTTAATAACTAATAATATTGGGAATCTTTGGATGTGCTTACTGGATGAACATTTGTATACAAGAATTTTTGGAGAGATATCTATTGCTCTAAATTCTTTGACTAATTTTTATTTCAGTTATCATTTCATTTTGAGTGGATAAAGGTCATTTTATATTCTCAACCAAATATATTATCCAGTATCAAATATATTTTGCAAATATCCCAAACTCTGTTTTCAATTTCTTGAGAGTATTTAAAGCACAAGGTTTTTATTTTAATGCAGTTAAATTTGCTGATTTTGTCCTTTTGTCACTTATACTTTGATGCCATACCTTAAAAAAATTAATCTAAGAACACAAATATTTATTCCTATTATTTCTTCTAAAAATCTTACTTTTAGGTATTTTATCCTTGTTGAATTGATTTGTGTGATAGAAGGGTCCATGAATACTAAAATATTTGTTGAAAATCTATTTCTTCTACCACTGAGTTGTAGTGGTACTTTTGTCAAAAAATGAATTAACTATAAAAATGAGAGTTTACTTCTGGATTCTGAAATCAATTATATTTATCTATATGTATATTCTTATGCCAGTGCCAAATCATTTTTATTACTAAAATTTTGTAGTTTCTCTGAGGCTCATTGTTCCTCATCCTTTTTGTGTTCATCAAAATAGAAAATCTCAATACTACCTTCAAGTGAAAAGAGGATGAGAAAAAAGACAAGTTAAAACACTGCAAATCTCACTGCCTTATCAACACCTAACTGTGTTTTCAAATTTTCCTTTAATTATTGAAAGGCTTGGTTAATTGCCAGGTTTCAATAAAGGTTTATTTTTATAAATTTTGCCAATGTTATCCCTATTTTTTCAAAGGAGTGGACTTTCTGAAGTTCTAACTCCATTATTCTGAAAGTACTATCGTGATATATTAAGGGCATCTGACTACTTCTTGACCGTAAGTTACATCATGACATTCTCTCCTGTCCTCTTTGGCTTAGGAGGTATCAAGTCCTGCCACACCTTTGTGATCCCTGATATTTCATTTTATTAATATTATTTTACTGTAGCAAGAATAGAAAGAACAAGTCAAAGACATTCATTTTTAAATCTTATTCCTTACAGTGAAAAAGTAAGTGTACAAAAAAGGGAAAAAGGAAAAGTTAAATTCAGGTAGCCCTTCCTCTGCATTAGCTGTGGGATTTTTTTCTTGCTCCTCCCAAAAAAAACAGTTTTATATACCTCACTGATATTCTATTATCAACCCATAAGTGTAATTGAGTCAAATATTCTATCTATAATGATACATAACACACAAAACATAAACACTAAGAATATGTGAGGTTAAGTAGGAACACACCTAAACACATGTTAAAAGTGAGGGAGTAAGAATAATAGGATAGCTTCCAATGACATGAAAATTAGGTACTTTATATTTTGCATCAGATAATAAAAAGATAGCAGTAAGCCTAACTATTTGATGTTGCCTATATATATCATACAACATCCAAAGACAGCACAGTTTAATTTATTGCACACTTGTATAACTTTATTTTTATGTGGCTGTTTTCTAAAGAGTATCCTCTTAAACTGGAACGGTATAAAACAATGTTTTCTGTATGCCAGCACCACCAAGAGCTAGAAAAAAGAGCCTTTCTGGCTTTAGATTATTCAATAAGACTAATAGTGCATATGATATGAACAAACAAAGGCAGAATCCATTCCATATCACCTTTTAAGACAGAACAATGTATTTGTTTTGTTGTTGTTATTCAGTTAAGGAAAGATGATATCATCACCAGTGGAGAACATATAAATCAAAATGGTGCTGCCTTAGTATTATGAATGTTTACCTAGATGAATACATGAATATAGTTTCCTAGAGGAAACAGATACCTGTCATATAGTTAAACCTAACTATATATATTAAAAAGTAAGATATCTTGGTTAAAGAATGTAATCATTGTTAATGAGAGCTTATTATAATAATTCATACAACTTTAAAATGTCCATATAAAGCATGATAAATGATCTTTTCAAGTTATAGTTCAATCTGCTAAATATAGGACTTGTTTGTCTTATTAGGACTTCTGCTTATTCATAATGCATTTGCAACTGATTATTTCCTTTTACAAATTTTAAGTCATAGATTTGTATTGACTATTATTAAGTATGAAATGCTTTTCTATATATTCCACAAACCAAAATAGTGAGATAGAGTCTCTTTCATCAAGGAAACTAAAATGCCTTCTTTTTTATTTTTTATTTTTCAATGCTGGGAATTGAACCCAGTTCAATAGTAGCACTCTACTACTGAACTACACTCAGTCCTTTATTTATTTATTTGTTTGTTTGTTTATTCACCCCCACACAAACATGCACATTTTTTATTGGTGCATTATAGTTGTACTTATTGGTGGGATTTGTTGTTACATATTTATACAAGCACGCAATATAATTAGGCCAATATCACTCTCCTATGTTTCCCTCCACCCCTTCCTCTCAGCCCTTGATCTTTTCCTCTATTCTACTGATCTCCCTTTTATTTTCATGAGATACACCTCTCACCTTTCTTTTTCTTTTTTCTATCTAGCTTTCACATATGAGAGAAAAATATATGACCATTATTGACCTTCCAAGTTTGGCTTTTTTCCTTAATATAATGGTCTCAAGTTCCACCCTTTTTACTGCAAATTACATGATTTTATTCTGTTTTATAGCTAAATAAAACTCCATTGTGTATATATACTACATTTTCTTTTTCTATCCATCTATGTATGGACACCTAAGCTAGTTCAATAGTTTGGCTGTTGTGAATTGTACCACTCCAAACATGAGTATGCATGTATTGTTCTAGCATACGGACTCCAGTTCTTTAGAATAAATCTCAAGACATGATACTCCTGGATCTTATGGCCGTTCCATGCCTAGTCTTTTGAGAAACTTTCATACTGATTTCCATAGTGGTTGTACTAATGTACAATCCCACCAACAGTGTAAAACAGTGTATTCCTTTTTTCCACATCCTCTCCAGCATTTGTTATTGTTTGTTTTCTTGAAGACTGCCATTTTGTCTAGTGTGAAATGAAATCTTACGCAGTTTTGATTTGCATTTCCCTAACTGCTAATGATTTTGAG